AAAAAAAAAAAAAAACAAAAAAAAAAAAAAAAAGCAGGACTCACCGGGCTCGGCAAAAGTGATGATCTCCGAGGTCCTCGCGTAGAAATCGTCCATCTCCTCCTGCGCGTCCTGATCCTCGTGGTCACCGTAACCGATCCTGGCGTTGTCCTCGGTCGCGCTCTCAGCTTTCGCTCTTCGTCTCTGCTGGTCGAGATTCCGATACGAATAGTCGTCGTCGTCGCCGTAGAGAAACTCCTCCGTGTACACGTTCTCGTGCTGGTTGTTCCGCGATTTCTCCGGATAACGAAAGGACTGGGGCTCGGCTCTGTAGAGAGCCTCGAGCGCCAGGTCTTTCGGCACGGTGGCCAACGTACGATTCACATCCGGACGTGTTCGTAGACCGAGTTTCGTGAGTATCTGATGCTTGATCGCCTCCAGCCTTAGATCATCCGGGGTGGGCGCGGCGGTGTCCTTCGAACCACCGCCCCGATGCGTCTCGTGCATGTGCTGATGTTGTTGCTGCTGATGGGGGCAGCCCGGGCAGGTCTGATGATGATTCTGTCGCGGTTGTACCGGTGACAGGGTCAAGCAACAGATCGCTAGACCTATCAGGAGGAGATTCGAGGGCGCCAGTGACGTTCCCCTGCACCTGGATACAACGCGTGACGCGTCGGCCAGATGGGATCGTTTATCCACGCGGCGTGATCGACTCGAACCGATCGGAATGTCGTACGACAGGCAACAATACTCTTCCTATCCCAGAGCCTCTCGTTTCGACCTGCGTTTGAGGTGAGTCCCGCTCTGTACGGCACCTGGTGCATCTCGGCGGCGAGTCACCTCCTCCTCCCCCACCACCACCTCCGCCTTCCTCCGCTACTGCTACCGGTACCGCTACTTCTTCGTCTACGTCTGCTTCCTCCTCCTTCTTCGTTCCGATCCTCCGCCCGCACGACGAGCCTATCCGCCGTTTTCCACGATCGGCAACACCGATCGGCCTCCTCTCTAATCCTACCGTCGCGGATACCGCTAATAATGTTCCCGCTCGGCTGAAAGAACGTAGCGACCGTTGCGAGCGCGATGCTATTCCGCAGCAAGTCGACACGGTGCTGTTGCTGCTGTTGCTGTTGGCTGATGATGTCCGCGGGAGGTGTTGCACCTGCTGCCTCTGACCTGCGGCACGACGACGAACGGCTACGACGTCGACGACGACGACGAGACGGACCTGTTGAAAGGGCGAGGATTGCGTAGAACGGCGACGACAACGGCGATGACGACCACGACGACAGGGAAAAGGCATTCTCGCCAAAACCCCCCATTACCAACCAACCGATGCCGCTGTTTCAGGATCGATCTCACCCGCAAGATGGACCGCCGTAACAACCGGGTACACCCTGCTCGTGTTTTCGGCCATTCGCGCTCCTTTTCGCAAGCTATCACACACGTCCACAGGTACGTGGTCCAACCCTCCGGTACAACGATCCTTCTTTTCTTCTTTTGCTTTCCACTCCCTTACTTCCTTCGGTTTCCCTTGACCCTCACTATCCTTCTTTCTCCACCAGGCTGCGTCTCTTAGCTCTCCTCTGTTGCTTCCGTTTCACCTAGGATCATCACCCTTTCGCCCGGCGATCATACCACCACCACGTTTCTTCCTTCTTCTCTCCACGCCAGTATTAGTGCGTGATCCCCCTTCGATCTGATCCTGGACCCGTCCTTGGGGGCTTTTACTCGTGGGAGAACCAGGTTGTTGACCCTAATTCCTCTCCAGCGGATCCGTATAACGACTCTCTCGACCTCTTCCTCCTCCTATTTCACAACTCTTCCGCAACGATCGAAATTACTCTTCTCGATACAATCGACTAAGGTCTCCTCGACTTTCTCGGACACTTTCTACGCGTACCTAATGTTTCACTACGACTAAGGTCTTCGGAATGATGCACCATTTAAAAGTCTGCCGCGACCGAATACGCAACGATGGGCATCCGAACCGGCGCAGAGTTCCTCACACAGGAGGATCTCCTATCTATTGGTCGCACAAGCTAAACCTCTCTTCTTCTTTCTGTCGCCGCGTAAGGATCAAACGGGGACCGCCCGTTTCAGATTTTCCGGGCTTCTCTACTGTCCGTAGAAAAGTAACCGTGAACCGAAAAACCGCGTGTTACTGGCGTGCACGAGCCTCTTCGGGGATCTGGATCCCGCCTGCATCCTCTTCGATCTATCCTGATCCAACCGGCGACGACGAACGTGTTCTCTCTTGTGTCTTCCTCGCGAATACCACCGAGCCACGTCAAAGAACGAGAAACTGATGTATTCGGACGTTTCGATTGTTTTCCGTCGTTCGTTGTACTCTCTTTTCTTTCCACCTTTTGGTCCCGTTCCTCCTTTCTCTCGCGCTGGCTCGGCTCACCCGGTATCATCCACGATAACGACGGAACGCCAAAGGATCCCTGTAACAACCGAAGCACGCTTGTCGGAGGCGCGCCGGACACTGAGGGGCATCCACCACCACTACCAATACCGATACCACCACCACCACCACCACCACTACCGCCGCCGCCGCCGCCACCACCACCACCGCCGTCGTACCATCACCGCCAACAGCAGCAGCAGCAGCAGCAGCAGCAGTAGCACCACCACTCGCTGCCGCCACCACCACGGACACCACCACCGACCAACGAAACACCATCCACCCACCCACGATATAGGTACTGCAACGACCGGCTAAACTCCCCGATAACTTTATATAGGTGGTCCCCTGTACAGGGTGCTCTGAAAACGTTTCGACGAAGCATAACCGATCGAACGATAGAAACATTTCATTCCCCCTCCCTTCCCTCCTTAATATTGATATCTCTTGGAAGTCTTTTTCCAAGAATTTCAATAACGTCTGTAAATAAAAATTTGGATGATGTAGGGTTGTGTTTCTGAAAGATTGTTCTTACAAAGGAAGAAGGTTGATCGAACAAGATCGATTACAACGTATCGGGTACACCCTGTACATGAACTAGGTAGGCTCGAAGCCGGTCTCCACGCAGCTTTCCCTTGACTGCGTGGACAGCTTTATTATACTATCTACGCGGTTCCACACTCCTCCATCGGTGTTCTTTCTTCTATCGGTATCCCTCGATATACATACACGAGGTGACTATCACCTTCACAAAGGAAAATGCTCGCGCGCAACCGTTCCAGGGCCGGATGACGATCGAGAGAATAGACAAAGACCGAGAGAAAGGATCGTTTTCGTCTATTTCACGCACGGTGTGCTGTCTCTCGATCCTCCTAAACCGAGAATCCCGGAGGGAACGAGGCAGGATGGCAAGAGAAAGAGAGAGAGAGAGAGAGAATGGGGGAGGCCAAGTGACAAGGGTTGTTCCAACAGCCACCACGTGGCTCACGCGTGGTACCGCGGCCGCTTCCGTTTTGCTACGTGAACGATTACAGTTTCTGTCCGTTTGTCCACGATCTGTTTTCAGGGTTTCCCTGTTCGTGCCAAAGAACACACTCCGGCTAGGATCGTTCACCTCGTGTAGACCGTGCGAGTGTATATATGTGTCTGTCCTTTCGATCTTCTTCGAAGAACCACCGTGAACGACCAGAGTTTCTCGACGTGATCGTTGGTACACGTCGAAAATCGAGCGAAATGGACCACTACATAGGAGATTTTCATTCCCTTCGTACAGAGGAGAACACGATAAGGTCGTGATTTCGATGGCGGCCGTAATCCCTGCGGTTCTCGCCGCCACCGACGACGGTGATGGTCGTCGTGGAAAAGCAACCGGAAAGGAACGCCGAACGGAAAGATAGAAAGAGAACGGAGCTAGCTTTAAGCATATTGATCAGAAGACGGTAGTTGGCCGAATGCCACGTGGTGATGCTGCGAGAGGCGCCGGTCTCTTCTCTTATTATGAGCCAAGGCTCCTCTCTCCTATCCTCGTCTCTTACTTTCCCTAAGATCCTCCTCTTCCATCGTAATCTTTCCCAAAAATCCTTGCTACATCGTCTTTCTCTCTCCCTCTTTCACCGTGCCCCTTATCTTACGATCCCTCATCTCCCTTCGTTTCTCGAGATGTTGTTCTTTTCCCTATGCGGCACGCACAGAATACGAAAATAGACGGTGGTCTCCGTTTGTTGTAATCGAATAAATGAAATTTCCACGTTAACCAGGCCGGTCCAACACACACCGTCGTTTAAAGCAAAACCGTTTATATATTTCTGCCTTTCTCGACCCTCCCCCATAAACGGATGCCTTTCGCGCGGTCCGTTTCTTCTACGGGCAGTTCGCATCGATTCACCGTTCGAGACCCTGCCTGCTGCTACTGCTTGAGTACCCAACAAGACCGCTTAAATTGAGACGTCAGATTAACAAGCTCACCCGCGTCGTCGAGAGGTGCAAAAGGCCTCCGCCTATACCCTATCTCTGTCCTTCTCTGACCGTCACCTTTCTATTTCTCTCCCTTTCCCTCGTTCACTCTGTCCCGGGGCCCGGCAACCTTGAGGAAAAGAAAGATCGGTAGAGGAAAAAAGAAGGCTGAAGGAGTCCACGTTAAACGGCCCGGGACCCAAAGAGAAAGGGAACCGCCTTCTTGGGTGGTTACCGGTTCCTCTCCACGGTTAAGCTCTCTCACCAGCAGCAGCACCACCGGCGGTTGATCCCTTCGTTTCTTTTCGTTGATCCTTTTGCATACGCCGACACGACGGCCACATGGTGGCCTGACGTCGATAAAAATACCGCGCGAGCGCGCTTTTACCTACCGCCGCGTTCCTGGACGGAGCAACCGTTCGTGAAACTGTGCAACCAGAGGTCCCCCTATGTCTGTCTTACCGTCGTTCGTGCTTGTACGGATGGTCGACGAGTGTACAGGGGTTCGATCGGACAATTCGTTACTTTATCGTGCTTCGAGAACGCAGTGTCTATTCTCTATCGACGGTTGCGACGAATCTCAATGTATTCGACACGAACCTCAAACTAGGATAAAAGACTCAATTACCAACACTTTAAGAAATAACATTGACATTACTGCATAATTTTTGTATTAACTGACCAAAAGCATAGGTTTGTTTGTATTTACCATTACTTAATACGTTTAATTGAAGGAAAAAGTTGTTGTTACTTTCTGAATCTCGAGTTTTGTTTATATATTCGTTAGTTTCGAAAATACAGTAATTAAAATATTATTGAAACGCTTGTGCCAATCACTGTCACCCAAATATTAAACTAAAAAGCTTAACGAATCCTTGAATTATGATCGACATTATTTTCTGTCATCTTCACATTATCTAAAACATTACATTTATTATGTTACTTCTTTCTATGTTAGTTCTTTATGTATAACTTCACAACGTTTATTCGTTATTTAAGTAAAAACAGTCTAGGATGACAGTAATTCGATAGGTGTCAGTAAATGAGTCTTTTACCCTACCAAGTGTATTCCGCGTCTTCGGAAACCAGTGTGGGAGTGCTATCTATCTAACAAAATCTAATGATTTTCAGAGGATATACCGATCGAACCACTGACAATTTCTCCAGCTTAATCGAACCCCAATGTCCAACGCACAGTACAAACTCGAGTCTAAACGAGACTCGTCGAAGGTCTGCCTTATCCACGGCAGGGAAGCAGTTTCTGCCTTATCCAAAGTCGAGACGCAACTGGGAAGACCAGGTGGATCCCCCGTTTGATCGTGATGGAATCGTCGATGAACAGCAACGGTTCGTTATCGCCTAAGGTGGATATACACCTAAAACACGAGATCGAAACACCGTTTTCTCTTCACCGTGTCTCCTGTGTTTACGATCGATCCAGAATCGGCGACGACCTTTTCTGAT